GTAAAATACGACTATATACGACAAAAAAAAAACAATTTCACAACTCCTAATAATTTGTTTGTCCCAGACATTTTCTTAATTCGTAATAAAGAACGAAGATTCTAGAAGACATTTTAAACAAATACCAAAACAAAACGTGAAAACAAATACGACCAATTCTTAACGAAGGAGAATTAAATAAAAGCACATTTTTAGTGCGAAAAAATCCTTCGACGATCAAATCACACTTTGAAAAGAATTATTTTTAACAAACAAATGACAAACAACCGAAACAGTTGAGTGAAAAAAAATACACTGACATTTTTGCTCGGATCAAATTTTACCACATTACTGGCAACAAGGATAGAATACATGTATCACATTCCAGTGACTGTCTTACCCAATATGGAATACACTTTCAAGTGCTATAGCCATGTCATACGTTAACTGTCGTACAATTAGATGGCGTGACGATTGAGAATGACATCTAATTATATGCAAATTTACCCATAGTTCGTATGTTTGATACAATCTTGTGAACTGCCATACAGGCTACTAATCCGTTTCACTTGATTTTCACTCGCATTACGCCAGTAAATGGAATGCATATTACCGTAACCATTACCAACGACAGATTGTATAGACTCACTGGCGTCAGTTAGTGACAACAATACGTCAGTCCAGCTTTAGATCGCTATTGTTCAACTGGACTGACCGAGTGTGTACCAGGCATTATGTAGACGCATACTGGCAGCAGAGAATCAAACAAATTCAATCGGCCAATAGAAAACTATACGTTAGCGTCATATTTTGACCAATGAGAAAGCTGCACGTTTGAATATTGCCATTGTTATAATTTCGAGATTCCACAAATAATATCACAATATCGTAAAATATGGAGTTTAAATTGCTAATTTCCGTGGGTCTGATGACGCTAAAGTACAATCATTTATTGTGTATGCAAAACAAAACTGTGTTAAAAAATGTAAAGTTCACATAATCTTTACAGTTTCTCCCAAAAGTGTAACAATTTGTGGGCATGAATCAATTTAACCAATTTCTAACAGAACTTTAATCATACGTTCCGAATAATTTAATTTTAATAACTAAATATTTCGGAAGAAAATAGGAAATCCGGAATTTCTGGTAACACAAAAACCAAAAACAAGAATCCACAGATCCACTAAACCAGTCATAGAGTTTCTGTTTTTTTAGGCTTGCGTATATAATTAAAAATTTATTAATTAATAACACCTTGTTTGCTTAATTAAAGAAAATCGACATTCACTAATTATGTTGTTTATTTTTTTCAAAAAAATATTTTTTTAGTCTGGCGAAAACACAACTGTCATTTGTTCTGTGACGTCACGCTGTTGATTAGAATCTGTGGAATAGACAGGTGTGTTAGGAAATGGAATTTGCCAAATTCAAATTCAAGATACAAAGTTTGAAATGTTTTTGTGATTATTTACTAGCTTTCGTCCGCGCGAAATTAAGAAAAAACAAATACAAGTAACGTTTGTGTTCTTTCATCGAGTTCCGTTCAGCCGTTTAGGTTACATATCCTAACAAACATCCGTTCAAACTTTCGCATTTATATTAGTAATATATATGCGTAAAGTGTGTCCTGTCCATCTCCATTTGAGTTGTCTTATTGTTGTGATGATGTTAGTGTAGTTTTTTTGCCATTATTGTACATTTAACTTTGTCTAATTTCTTTATGTTCAACATACTTCTTTCCATTGACTTTTGGCAAACTTTTTCGTATAACATTTATTCAATTCCGTGAAACATTTTTTATGTTAAAGTAAACTTTTGTAAGTTTTGTGCTGTACAACTGAGTTTTCTTAGTAAAAATGCTTTTATTTACTTAAAATATAATCTTTTACAACCTGTATTGTTGGGAGAATTTTAATTCTCTTCGCTTAAATTTTATGATTACAAGGAACTATATTGAAAAAGTATGGTAGGATATGAAAAAGGAGACCCTGGAACCTTTGTCTATGTCATTAGAGGCCACCGAGGGGGTTTTAGTTGGTCAAATCTTACATAACCCTGCCTTCCCCCTGAATGCAAGGTATCTTTTGAAGATTTCCCCCGAGACACAGTAGCCAATTTAAATTATTTCTAATCCAGTGAAGCAGCGGGATGAATTTGTTTTAAAAAGTTTCTTATGAGAAACAGAGAAGTTTAATTTTTTCTGCAAATAAATGGGACAATACAAGGGCATGGGAAGATGGCAAGAGATGTAGAGGTTTGATAGTAGCAAAGTTTGCTTTAACATCTTCAGACAGGCGTGAAGTGGGAGCAATTCTGCGTTTCTGCAATTCACTCTGGAAACTTGATCTTTAGTAATGGATAGGGATGACAAAAAATTTGAAACATTAGGCGTACAGAGTTTGTCTTGACTAGGAAGATGAGTGGCAGTAGTATGGTCATAAACTGACGGGAATTGATTTGCAAAGAGATCACAATTATTGGGTCCATTGGTTGGATTGGATTTCACGGTGGAGACGCATAGGAAGAGGAATTATCTTCTTTCTGTGCGTCTCCTCTTCTGTCAATCAAGGGTAGGCAATGCCCCTGCAATGTTTATGGGCAGTGGTCGCTTTCCATTTTGGTGGATTCAGGTGGCCGCTTGCTCTTTGCCATCTTATATTATTAAAAAAGGTAGAAATTGAGATCTGATGGTTTTTTAAAAGGTTGTTAGGATGTTCGCGTATTGTATTGTATTGTGCAATGTGAGTCATTCGCGTATTGAAGTATTTCAAGAATAAAAAATATAATATAATGACTAGAGTCAAGCTCAACAGGGTCTTCTTTCCCTGCTGATTCTCCCAAGCCCGTTCCCTTGGCTGTGGTTTCGCTAGATAGTAGATAGGGACAGTGGGAATCTCGTTAATCCATTCATGCGCGTCACTAATTAGATGACAAATACAAATACAAATATTTTATTGGTAATCGAATTACAAGTCATAATTTTTTTTTTAAAAAATAAAAAACTTTACATATATTAAAAATGACTGAATAAGAATTGGGTACATAAAACAATCATGGAAGCAAAAATTCT